GTTATCCCTATTCCCTTTTTTGAACAAGGGAATGATGTTTGCATCTCTCCAATCTTCTGGCACTATACCCCTGGACAGTGAGGATGAAAAGATCATTGCCGAAGGCCCTGCGATCTCTTCCCTCGCTTCCCATAGAATCCTTGGATAAATCCCATCAGGCCCGGAGGACTTATCTATCTTCAACGTCCTCAAAATTCCTAGCACATCTTCCTTACTAACATCGACCTCCTCTAGCCTACCAGCCTGTTTCACACTGTCCTCCTCTACAACTAGGTCCCTCTCAGTTGTGAAGAAAAGTACTCATTAAGGACCTCTCCTATCTGTTTAGGCTCCGTGCACAAATTCCCTTTACAATCCTTGATCGGCCCTACCCTTTCTCTGGTCATTCTCTTATTCCTCACGTATGTGTAAAATGCCTTGGAGTTTTCCTTGATCCTATCTGCCAAGGTTTTCTCATGCCCCTTTATAGCTGTCCTAAGCTCTTTCTTCAGCACCTTCCTGGATAACTTGTATCCCTCTAGAGCCTTTTCCATTCCTTGTTTCCTAAACCTTACATAAGCATCCTTCTTCCTCTTAACCAGTTGTTCGACTTCTCTTGAGAACCAAGGCTCCCTCATTCGACCGCATCTTCCCTGCCTGCTAGTGACAAACGTATCGAGCACATGCAATATGCATTCCTTAAACAATCTCCACATTTCAATAGTGCTCTTCCCTGACAGCATCTGTTCCCAATTTATGTTACCCAGTTCTTGCCTAACAGAATTGTAATTACCTTTCCCCCAATTATAAACCTTACCCTGCTGTATGTACCTACCCTTTTCCATGACTATTGTAAAAGTAACAGAGTTATGATCGCTACTGCCAAAATGCTCTCTGACCAACAGGTCTAACACTTGGCCCGGTTCATTGCCAAGCACCAAATCCAAAGTGGCCTCTCCTTGTGTTGGTCTATCTAAATACTGTGTCAGGAATCCTTCCTGAACGCACTGGACAATATCCGCTCCATCTAAACTATTACAACTAAAATGTTTCCAATCAATATATGGAAAGTTGAAGACACCCATGACTACAACCCTGTGACTTCTGCACCTTTCCAGTATCTGCCTCCCAATCCGCTCCTCTACTTCTCTGCAACTATTAGGGGGTCTGTAAAAAAAACCCCAACAAAGTGACTGCTCCTTTCTTGTTCTGGACCTCAACCCAAACTGACTCTGTAGAAATATCATTCTCGAACTGCCTTTCAGTGGCTGCTATACTAGCCCTGAATAGTAATGCCACTCCCCCGCCTCTTTTTCCTCTCTCCCTATTTCTTTTAAAGCATCTAAATCCCGGAACTTCCAACAACCATTCCTCTCCCTGAGTTACCCAAGTTTCTGTAATGGCCACAACATCGTAGTTCCAAGTACCGACCCATGCTCTAAGTTCATCCGCCTTATTTCTGATACTTCTAGCATTGAAGTATACACACCTCAAACCATCTCTGTGTCCATAATTATGCTCCATCGACCACATTTCTTTATAAACAACCTCACTCCCTGTTGTGTCCGTTGGAAGGCTGAATACCTCATCCTCTGAATTATAAATCCGGTTCCCCACCCCCTGCCAATTTAGTTTAAACCATCCCGTATAGCTCGAGCAAACCTCCCTCCCAGGATATTTTTGCCCTTCCGGTTCAGGTGCAACCTGTCCTTACTGTACAGGTTCGACCTTCCCCAGAATGTGCTCCAATTATCCACATAATGGAAGCCTTCCCTCTTACACCAGCCCTGTAGCCACGTGCTTAGCTGCACTCTCTCCCTATTTCTTACCTTGTTATCACATGGCACTGGTAGTAATCCAGAGATAACTACCCTGCTTGTCCTGGACTTCAAGAAAATATTTGCTTTGGTCCAGAAAATTAAGTTATCATGTTGAGATTTACCAAGGATATGAAGAACACCTTCATCTTTAGATTTGAGAGGTCAAATGGGTTGAGTAAATCTTGCTAAAGTTCCAATGTATCATTCGCCATGAATTAACTAGCTTCACGAAACCAAAAAATGGCAAATTTATCAATAAAGCCAAAGTATATCACATGAAATAATTACAGCTTTCAGTTAGATATTTAAAATATGATTACTGTACAATGTATCCAGAAAAGAGGCCAAGAGGTCTAACAGGCTTCATTTGAATAGCAATTTGACCTTCCACTCCAGGAGGAACCACATTGTGATTTTCATCAATAATCTGAAACAAGGATAACAATTATAAAAATGTGCAAATGGCAGCAGAGATAACCAATTCAAAAAAATATAATTAGGTTGACTGCTCAGATTTACTGTAAACTGTACCACTTACCACATGCACTGTTTAAGTTGTTCCACGTTCTGAAGGAATGTTCACAAAAAGAAATGTTATGATCTAGATGATGGAATACTGAACAAGTCAGTTTCCAGAGTGAAACACGACTTGATAGACCATAAGTTTTATTTTTTGTAACTTTGTGACTGTGATGGTCAGTCACCGAACATATACATACAAGCCATCAAATGCACTTCGAAAAAAAGAACATTACCTTCTTACACAAAAGAAAACAAAAGCATAGCTTTATAAATGACAATTTGAACAACATCTTATCTTAAAGAGCAAAAAGAACAGTTTAACTATTTTCAACTATTCAACATAGAGAAGGCAATGGCCTATTGGTGTTATCACTAGAACATTAATCCAGAGACGTAGGTAATGTCCTGAGGTCCCAGTTTTGAATCCTGCCATGGCAGATGGTGGAATTTGAATTCAATTTTCAAAAAGAAAATTGGAATTATGAATCTAATGATGTCTGTGAATTTATTGTTGATTGTTTGGAGAAAAAACCCATCTGGTTTACAAATACCCTTCAGGGAAGGAAACTGTTGTCCTTACCAGGTCTGGCCTACACGTGACTCCAAGACCCACAGCAATGTGGTTGACTCTTAAACTGCCCCCTGGGCAGTTAGGGATGGGCAATAAATGCTGGCCCAGCCAGCGACGATCACATCCCATGAATTAATTTTTTTAAAAAAAATCTCAATACTATTCTTTACAGACATTCATCTCAGATTTTAATTTCTTAGCCAACTGACAAGGTTGCAAATGTCTTCTGTTGGACTTCCTGCACATTTACCAAATGTGATTCTTTCCATTGCTGTCTCTCCCCAAAATGAACAGACATTGATCACCTTTTTGACTTTTCCTAACTGTAATGCCCAGTCTACTTGAACTGCTAACATAGTTTAAGACTTCTTTCCAGCTCTGATAGGCTGAAGTCTGCCACAAACTAAACTGCTCTGCTGCTGGTATGAACGTTTTCTTCTCAACTGAAACCTGATTGTGGCCCCTGGCCATCTGTTTTTTTCACTATCAAAGAAGTTTAGCTTTTGAAATGCTTCAACAAATAATTTTACAGGTAGCTCAGCTAATTAACTTAAGTCTCATGTTTTTTTGGAAAGACTGTTCTGAACTCCCTGTTCAGAAAAACAACTTTCTGACATTGTAAAAGAAACAAGTCTCCTTCACAGACATAAAACCAAAGACCCATTTACCTGTACTTTAGAATCCACATTCCCAAATGCTAATACATTAGAAACTTGCAGCACATATAAACTGTGGTCTCTTGCCATAATACTACATCCTGCCAAAGGCGTGAATGAACTGTGACATTTCCATGTTATACAAGGCTATGTCTAAGGTGAGAGGTCCTCTCATGATACATCTGAAGTACATTCTGATGGGAAAATATTTGGAATGTGCCTTGTCTGCATTGACCATGCTTCTATGCTTCTATCTATATCATTTCCACCAGGCAGACATTAGTGAAACCAACCGTACAGACTTTCTCACGACATTTAAAACATAGTTTATTCTTGCCAGCTTGGCTCATTGGTAGTAGTCTCACCTTGGAATTAGAAAGTAGTGGATTTAAGTACTGAGGTGTGCTGCAGTATTTGGAAAAGTGCAGAGGAGATGCTACAGTTAACATCTCCAAAGTCCAACAAAATATAAGAATTGGTCACTTTACTGTTGTGTTTAAAGCACTTTACTGTCCATATTTTATCTGTTTTGTTACAGGAGAGTGAGGAACCACAGTGAATTACCACAAAAATGTAATTTGTCAGTTGTTGTACATTTTGGGACATTCTAGGCATTTCTTCAAATACTGACATTGTATTAATGAAAGCTTTTTTAAAGATTGGAAGATGCATGGCTTTTCCAACAAGTAACTTTAATTGAAGAAAGGTCAGTGACTACACTGTACAGAATTAAGATGATTGGCAAAAGAACCAGAGGCTACATAAGGACCTAGAATGCACAAACTTAATTACGGATAAGAATTGCTTTTTTGGAGTGATGTGCTGTCATTTCTTGCTCTAATTTCAGAAACACAATGAGCATTTGATGCAAAGAAGACTGAAAGAAAAACTGCAGCTCAGGATTTGAATCTTTAATGGCTATTGAAAGGCAACAAATCAATAGAACTTACTTGCACGTTAATTGCTGGAACCGGCTTCCCCATTGAACCAGGTTTAATTTTCATGCCTTTGAATGTTGCACAGAGCAAGACCTATATGATAGCAAAGCAAAAACGGTTATAAGCTGCATTTAACAGTTCAAAGCAACGCAAAATGCAAACAGTAATAAAATATGTTCCGGGTTTATTATAGCTAAGCATTGCAAAAGGACATAACTGTACTTGTCAGTGGAGGACTGGTGGCCATAGATCCTATAAAACCAGATAAACAGTAACAGATCTGTAACTGCACCATCTGGAGCACATGACTCTGTGCTGTAGATGATTGTGCTCAGCTCCATAATGACCATGAACTGATGCTAAACTGTTAGCCTTACACAAGAAAACAGAAAAAAATCTCTTGCCTTGGGAACATACATACACAAAATATGCAGAAGGTGCCCATTTCCAAGCATTAACAAAGAACACTTTGATGAAGATCATTTTCATTATATATGATACATATATTCCATATTCCAAAGGCACTAATTTCATTCACAGAAAAAAAATGCGACTTGGCCTCCATTACTTTCTCTAGGAAGCAAAGTAGGAAGCAATATTGGCACCATACAAATACCAAGCAAAGACCATTTCCAAGAAGAGATAATCTAACCATTGCCCTTTGACAGTCAAGGGCATGACCATCACTATCAACATCCAGAGGATTACCATTGATCAGAAACTGAACTGTACTTGCCATACAAATACTTAGCTACAAGAGCAGTTTGAAAGCTAGGAATACTGCTGTGAGTAACACACCTCCTGATGGTGCAAAGTCTTTTCACTATCTATTAGACAGCAATCAGGAGTGTGATGGAATACTCTCCACTTGCCTGATGGGTGCAGCTCCAACAACACTCAAGAAGCTTGACACCATCCAGGACAAAACAGCCTGCTCGACTGGCACCACATCCACAAATACCTACTCTTTTCACTGCTGATGCAGCGGTGTGTACCATCTGCAAGATGCACTGCAGATATTCACCCAAGGTCCTTAAACAGCACCTTCCAAACACAACCACTGCAACCTAACGGGCAGATATATGGGAACATCACCACCTGTAAGTTCCCCTCCAAGCCACTCACCATCTTGACTTGGAAATTTATCGCTGTTCCTTCACTGTCTTTGGGTCAAAATCCTGGAACTCGCTCGCTAATGGCATTGTGGGTCAACCCACAGCACACAGACTGCAGTGGTTGAAGAAGGCAGCTCACTAGCACCTTCTCAAGGGCAACTGGGGACAGGCAATAAAGGTTAGCTCGGTCAATAACACCCATACCCACAAGTGAATAAATAAATAACATGTTTACAAAGATTATCTTCTTTTATATATATATATAATACACACATTCTACACTTGATATAATTTCATTCACAGAAGAAGAAAGGGAGTTGGCTTGTATTACATCCTTTGGAAACAAAGTATATAAAGTGCGATAAGTGCTGGCCCAGCCAGAGTTGCCCATGAGTGAATAGAAAAATAATTCACACCAGTTTTGTTATGTAGTGTACTACATTGTAGCATGTTGTTCTACAGTTTACAATTTGCAAATCATGCTGCAAGGCTCCTGAAATCTGCTATATCTGCATTCTTCTAGTAATTCCAATGCGAACAATGCTGATAACATTGAACTTTGATCTGACAGCCAGGCAACTATTGTTTACTTACAAACTGCAGAAAAGGGTGAGGAGATTATGAACTCCATTTCACCTCAAAAAGTTTTGTAACCTAATATTTCTCCATCTTCCTGTTAGAGTCTGCTTCTATCAATCCTGTCATTTTGAAATATTTTGAAATAATTTCAAAAATAAATAATTTAGTTAAAATACCATAATTTTATCAGTATATTGCAATAATATAGTGGTTCATTTGAATTAAGCAAATACAAATTTGAAGTAAAGAGCAAAAATGTTGGCACTACCTACACAGCTTTCAAACTCCCTTATAATAAACAGAAGGATGTGGTGATATCATTGAACAACTGTAACATTCCATCATCCACCATCAGCAATGACAAGTTGTGTCATTATTTTTAAGCTTACAATAATATTTGTGTCACATTTACAGCACAGTTCTTAATCACTTTCAAATATATCACTTTCTAGACATTTTCATCACAAATAAATATATTCGTCCCAACTTGAAATGTCAGCTTTCCTGCTCCTCTGATGCTGCCCGGCCTGCTGTGTTCCTTCAGCTCCACACTGTGTTATCTCTGACTCCAGCATCGGCAGTTCTTACTATCTCCGAAATACATTCTGAGTTCTGTTTAAAATTTCACTACCACATAATCTTAATGAACTAACTATTATTAGCATAAATGTGAGAGGGCTGAGCAAACCAACATTGAATTAAATGGACTTAGGGTATGGTTTAAATGATTGCAAACACATTTCCAAACATTGGTGTAAATTGAGTTATGACAGGAAACCAGATAATTTCAGGAGTATAATGTGGGTGAAAGAATTCTGAACAATGCAGTGTGAAGTAGTGGTGTGCATGTCAAAAGAGTATTGCAGAAACATTGAAACAGCTGCCGTATAAAAAGTTTACATCAGTCATGGCTGAGGAATAAATGTTCTACTCTTGTCACAAATATAGTTCCATATGATCTTAAATAGCAAGAGCACAATTTTCTTCAGAGTAAGCATGCAGCAAAATATTAACTGTTGGGAGTTCTGATTGGCCAATTTCCTGGGTTCAGGCTTACAGAGTCATTTCGCCATACAGCATGGAAACAGACTCTTCGGTCCAACAGTCCATGCTGACAATAATCCCAAACTAAACTAGTCTCACCAGCCTGCATTTGGCCCATACCCCTCCAAACATTTCTTATTTTTGTACTTATCTAAGTGTCTCTTAAACATTGTAACTGTACCCACATCCACCACGTCCTCTGGAAGTTCATTCCACACATGAACCAGTCTCTGTGTAAAAAAAAGTTGCCCCACATGTTTTTTTTAAATTTTTCTCCTCGCACCTTAAAAATATGTCCCCCTAGACTTGAAATCCCCCACATTAGGGAAAAGACACCCACCATTCACCTTATCTATACCTCTCAATTTGATTTGATTTGATGTATTGTCACATGTACCTAAGTACGGTGAAAAGCTTTGTTTACGAGCGGTACAGGCAGATTATAATCAACAAGGACATAGAACATAGAACATAGAACATTACAGCGCAGTACAGGCCCTTCGGCCCTCGATGTTGCGCCGACCTGTGAAACCAATCTGAAGCCCATCTAACCTAAACTATTCCATTATCATCCATATGTTTATCCAATGACCATTTAAATGCCCTTAAAGTGGGCGAGTCTACTGTTTTTGCAGGCAGGGCATTCCGCGCCCTTACTACTCTCTGAGTAAAGAACCTACCTCTGACATCTGTCCTATATCTATCACCCCTCAATTTAAAGCTATGTCCCCTCGTGCTAGCCATCACCATCCGAGGAAAAAGGCTCCCACTGTCCACCCTATCTAATCCTCTGATCATCTTGTATGTCTCTATCAAGTCACCTCTTAACCTTCTTCTCTCTAACGAAAACAGCCTCAAAACCCTCAGCCTTTCCTCATAAGACCTTCCCTCCATACCAGGCAACATCCTGGTAAATCTCCTCTGCACCCTTTCCAATGCTTCCACATCCTTCCTATAATGCGGTGACCAGAACTGTACGCAATACTCCAAGTGCGGCTGCACCAGAGTTTTGTACAGCTGCAACATGACCTCCTGGCTCCGAAACTCAATCGCTCTACCAATAAAACCTAACGTACTGTACACCTTCTTAACAATGCTATCAACCTGGGTGGCAACTTTCAGTGATCTATGCACATGGACACCGAGATCTTTCTGCTCATCCACACTACCAAGAATCTTACCATTAGCCCAGTACTCTGTATTCCTGTTACTCCTTCCAAAGTGAATCACCTCACACTTTTCCGCATTAAACTCCATTTGCCACCTCTCAGCCCAGCTCTGCAGCTTATCTATGTCCCTCTGTAACCTACAACATCCTTCTGCACTATCCACAACTCCACCGACTTTGGTGTCATCCGCAAATTTACTAACATCCTTCTATGCCCTCATCCAGGTCATTTATAAAAATGACAAACAGCAGTGGCCCCAAAACAGATCCTTGAGGTACACCACTAGTAACTGAACTCCAGGATGAACATTTCCCATCAACCACCACCCTCTGTCTTCTTACAGCTAGCCAATTTCTGATCCAAACCGCTAAATCACCCTCAATCCCATGCCTCTGTATTTTCTGCAATAGCCTACCATGGGGAACCTTATCAAACGCTTTACTGAAATCCAAATATACCACATCAACCGCTTTACCCTCATCCACCTGTTTGGTCACCTTCTCGAAGAACTCAATAAGGTTTTACAGATTATGGAGTGGAAATAAAGCTTGGACAGAGGCAAACAGGTTACATTGCACAGGCAAGTGCAAGGCAAGTTCAACATTAGCAAGATCAGCGTTATTTGATATTCCACCGGGACACCCCAGTCCATTCCACAACCACCAACAAAAATCCCCCCCTCGCCATGGCACCTTCCCATGTAACTGCAGAAGGTGCAACACCTGCCCCTTCACATCCATTCATCTGTCTAATTGTAGCAGGGAAGAAGCTATTCTTGAACCTGCTGGTGAGTGTATTCAAGCTTCTGTATCTTCTGCCTGAAGGAAGAGGTTGTGGGAGAGCATTACTGGGCTGTACTGGGTTTTTGATGATGCTGGCAGCCTTTCTGCAGCAACGAACCGTGGGCAGAGCAGTTACCATACCAGGCCGTTATGCACCCGGACAGTATGCTTTCAATGGTCCATCTGTTGAAGTTGGTGAGGGACCTTATGGACATGCCAAATTTCCTGAGCCGCCTGAGGAAGAAGAGGCATTGCTGTGCCTTCTTGACCATCATATCTACGTGGGATGTCCAGGACAGGTTTTTTGGTTATCGTCACTCCTATTTAAATAATTATAGCAGGCTCCTGTTAAGAGCACTTATCTGTGTTGAAGAGCCATTTTCAGGAGGTGAAGAGTATTATAATGGTGATGGGAAGGCCTTGGTACCAATCACCTGTGTTCGGGAGGAAGACTATTGACACTAATCCTTCTTCCAATGTTAGTCTATGGGCTTTGTAATAATCTATGGTCTATTCCTCTGATGCAGTCCACCATATTGACAATTTCCAGTTCCCTGGCCCTAACTGCCTCCTGTTCACCATGGATGTCCAATTCCTCTATACATCTATTCCCCACCAGGATGGACTGAGGGGTCTCGGCTATTTCCTCAACCAGAGGCCTGAACAATCCCCATCCACCACCACTCTCCTCTACCAGGCTGAACTTGTTCTCTACTCAACAATTTCTCCTTTAATTCATCTCACTTCTGCCAAGTCAAAGGAGTGGCTGTGGGCATCCGCATGGGTCCCAAGTATGCCTGCCTCTTTATGGGGTATGTGGAACAATCCTTGTTCCAGTCTTAAACTGGCCCCTTCCCATGACTCTTTTCTCGGTACATAGATGACTGCTTCGGTGCCACCTCATGCTCCCACCAGGACCTTGAAAACTTCGTTCATTTTGCATTTCCACCCCTCAATAACTTTCATGTCATCCATTTCTGACACTTCCCTTCTTTTCCTTGACCTCTCTGGCTCCATTTTGGGTAATCAACTGTCCACTACCATCCACTACAAAGCCACTGACTCCCATACCTACCTTCACTACAGCTCTTCACACCCCATGTCCTGCAAGGACTCCATCCCATTCTCCCCATTCCTTCGCCTATGTTGTATCTGTTCGGGTGATGCCATCTTCCAAAACAGTGCTGCTGACATGGCTTGCTTCTTCCATGACTGTGGTTTCCCACCCACTGTGGTTGACAGGGCCCTCAACCGCATCCGACCTATCACCCTCGCGCCTTCCCGTCACTCACAACGGTGTGATCAGATCCCCCTGATCCTCACTTAACATCCCATCAGCCTCCGCATTCAAAGGGTCATTCTCTGCCATTTCAGACAACTCCAGCAGAATGCCAGCACCAAACATGTCTTCCCCTCACTCCCCCTGTCTGCATTTCACAGGGATTGTTCCCTCTGGGACACCTTAGTCCATTCCACAACAGCCAACAAAAAGCCCCCTCCCCATGGCACCTTCCCATGTAACTGCAGAAGATGCAACATCTACCCCTTCACCTCCTCCCTGCTCACCATCCAAGGGCCTGAACAGTCTCTCCAGGTGAAGTACCTCCTCTAACCTTGTGTATTTCATTCACTGCACCCAATATGGCCTACTCTACACTGGAGAAACCAAATGCAGACCGGGTGACTGCTTTGCAGAACACCTCCGGTCTGTGCACAAGCATGACCCCCACCTTCCCGTAGCCAGTCATTTTAACACAGCATCCTGCTTGCATGCCCACGCGTCTTTCCTCAGCATGCTGCAGTGCTCCAGTGAATCACAGTGCAAACTGGAGGAACAACATCTTATCTTCAGACTAGGCACTTTACAGCCTTCTGGACTTAATATTGAATTCAACACTTTCAAATTGTGCACCATTCCTTCCCTTTCATTTAGCTTGTTATATTCTGTTATCATGTCCTCTGTCTCCTCCCCCCCACCCCAGTGGGACTCTCTGTCCTTAAAAATCTGGCAGTTAGACACACCATTGTTCTGCCATTCTCACATTCTGGTCACTTAATCTGAACTGTCAACATCTTTTCTCCACCAGCAACCTACACCCACCATCCCCACACCAACCCCCCAAATTATAGCATAAATGCTGTCCCCTCCACACTTCAGTTCTGATGGCGAGTCGTCTAGATTCGAAACGTTAGCCTGCTCTCTCTCTCCATGGATACTGTCTGACCCACTGTGATCTCCAGCATTGTTTGTTTTTAGAACAAATTGGCTGGTTTTGTTTTTAGCCAGCAGAGGGCATCCATACCTGAGTCCCTGAGAATCTGACTTTCTACAGGTTCAACTTGAACACAAAGAGATTTGGAAAACACAGTTGCTTGTATTACAAACTCAAGCAGCCTTCTGATATCACTCTCTCCCACCACCCATAATGGTCTACTTTAGTTGAGGAAACACTAGGATAAATATGGATGAGGCATTTGGCCTATCTAGGTAGCAGTGGCCAGACAGCCATGCCTACTGGGAGTCTCTTGCCCATATGTGGGCTCACCCTCCTACCACTGCAGAGATTACGGTGACAGGCAGGTGGGAGGTTGAAGGGTGAGTTACATCTGGAGTATACTGAAAGGGTGTCTGAGACAGGGTTGGGAGGAGACAGTTTCTCCCTTTGCATGCCTACTGGGCTCCACTCTATTTCCTCTCTGAGGCCATGGTCCCTTGTACTCCTTTCACCTTGCCATTGATGCTTAAGTGCCCATGGCTAGAATAATGGAGTGCAGGTCTGTGCACATATCGAGCAGCACTGCATATTCTGAAGGACCTAGGTCTCCAAGGCAACAATCACTATTTCCATGGTGATAGCCAAGTAGGTTTATGCTGGAGCCATCATAGGAATGAAACTCCTCCATTCTCATTTCAGCCTATTTGGTGCCTGTGGCCCAGCTGTCTCTTTCTGAAGGTTGATCATCCTAATTTAAGGCTGAGTGCAGGGCACACATATGTTCTGCATGGGTCTGAGCAAGTGCCTGGTCTCCGGCAGTCCTTCTAGTGTCAGCGACCTCAGGCATTGCTTCCCCTACTGACTGCGGAGAGGTATCAGTGATGTGCTCACTAGAATGTGTCCAAGTCTAAGCGAGATAGAACGCCCACAAAGGTGAAAGTCTATCGGCTAGTGGAGGGCACCAGTGAATGCCTCGTTAGTGTTTCATGTGAGGGTTTATAGTCTTCCTCTTCAGAGCTGTTGGTGTGGCCTTGGCTGAGGTTTGCTGGGTGCAAGTTGAAATAATGCTGGGAATTTAAAAAAATTGGCTTAGCCAGCCAGTTTCACATTTTACCTAAAATCAGGTATCTCTGACAGTACAGCACCAGAGTGGCAGCCTTGATTTTTTTTTTGTGCTCAGAACCTGGGCTGTTGCTTGAACCCAGAACATTGTGGAACAGAGGCAAAAATGCTACAAACATGTTCACATTGGACTGTTGCTTTCAATTCCAATATCAAAGAGGTTCATAAGTTTCTCACACTCAGTGGAAGTGAGAGTGCAGGGAACAGATGTGGAGGGATTGAGGAGATGGTTGGGAATGGAGAAAAGAAGCTTTGCACTCTGGATAATCCAGTATTTTGGTTCAAGAAACCACTTTTCTATGTTACAGGGTACATTCCTTTGTTACAAAAAGCTGTTTGGTTGATTTCTTTCTTCCTTCATTAAAGAAACAAAACCTCCTACTCAGGATTAAAGCACGTACGGTTTCGCTCTGGCCATATCCTTCATAGATGTCTAAGCCTGTCTCTTCTTTCCACTTGGCCATTACCTCAGGGCTGCTGGGCTCACCACCAGTTACACAGTGCTGGAGGCTTCTGAATCTGTAACTAAATTTAAAAAAAATTAGAAAGTGAAGCCACAACTGGTACCACAACTGTTTAGCACTGACCTTGTTGTATGTTTAGACAAATTCTCGATATACCATGCATTGAAACCCAAATTTAAAATACTGCTTTTTTAGAATATTAAAATATATTCAGGTCATTGTAGATTAAGCTACATTTATATTTTGGAAAATTGTTGACTTGAGACAAAAACTTTCATGCCTTGGGCCTGTCTTCTGACCCCATTTTTTATTCCCCATTATTCATTCATGGGATGAGGACATCACTGGCTAGGCCAGCATTTATTGCCCATGCCCAGAATGGCAATTATGAGTCAACCACATTGCTGTGGGTCTGGAGTCACATGTAGGCCAGACCAGGTAAGGATGGCAGTGAACCAGATGAGTTTTCCGACAACTGGTAATGGATTCATGATCATCATTAGACTCTTGATTCCAAATACTTATTGAATTCCACCAGCTGCTGTGGCAGGATTCAAACCCAGGTCCCCAGAACATTAACTGGGTCTCTAGATTAACAGTCCAGTGATAATACCACCAGGCCATCGCCTCCCCTTTTGCCTAATGGAAGATCCCACAGTGCATGAAGCACAAAAAATTTTGCAGAGAGCAGCACCATAGAAGACTCACCCTCTTTTTACAGCTTGCAGTGCAGTATTCCAGTAGTTAGAGAGTTTAAATATCCCACAGTCTCCTAGAGAAGCTACAGAGAGAACCTAAGTGTGTAGCGTAAGTGCATAAGGTGAGTAGGAGATTGCAGGTGGCTGAGAGGTAAGGGTGGAAATGGGTGAGGGGTAATGGTGGCATTCAAGTGGAAGGATAGTGTGGTAGATGGTGATTTCAGGATTAGAGGTAAGACTGGGAGGTGGTAATCGGATAATGGTGGTAAATCAAGTTGAGGTGGATTCATTAGGGTGGGAATTGGAAGATTAAGGGTCCCAGTCCAGTAGTGGGCAGTCTGGTCAGTTTAGGTGATGGGTTTTTCCAGGGGACAGGGCCATTTGGATCGGGCATTTTGTGGGGTTCAGGGAAGGTAGTTGGGGTGTGGTTGTTAAGAGTTTGGAGATTGGTGGGCAGGTTTCTTGCTGCAGTGGTGTCAGTGGAGAGTCAGAGGATTCAGTTGTATAGTTACACAGGAATCAGGATTGTAATTTTTCCATCTAACATTTCTGCATAACTATTCAGGTATATCATTAGAACACTCTGCAGTCTCCAAATCTAATTCAGAAATTTCTGAGGCTTCTGGATACAAATAACTGTCTAATGGAAGTTCAAACTTCAGATCCAGACAGTTCTTATATCTTAAAAATAGGAACATTCAAATTGAAAGTGAATAAAGTAAGATATCTGGAGTATCAATTCAGAACAGAGGAATTCAGATTACAAAAGATAATCAAATTAGATCAGTGATCTTGCATTATTTTTGATATGCTGGGCTAGTATGTGTACCTATTACAGTATGAAACCGTTTTTGCTTTCTAAGTTTTGGATCAATTTCTGTTGTTGAATTGAAGAATTAAAGAACGTGCTAGCAATAACTACATAATTCAAGCCTTCAAATAAACTGCAATAAAGGTCTTAATAGGAAATTTGGAGAGTACAAATCTGAGGGAACTAAAATTATCAACAACAATGTGGAAGTTAATGAGAAGAAAGGGATATTGTGCCGGATCAGGAGGGAGCTGTGAATGGATCTAAGGAGTCTTGTGTATGAATGCAGACAATAGTGTGTTTTTTTTTGCATGGTTGTTATACATGCACAGCCAAACAGATGCAAAACAAAGAACAATCAGAAATTTAATAATGTACCTGGTAAGATCATTCTGTACAAGCATACGATATGCAGTGGGTGGACAACAGAAAGTTGTTATTGGGTACTTGGATAAAACCTAGGAAAGGATCATTTAACAATCAATTATCTTCTCAAAGCCAAATGCAATAATAAGTAGCAATCTTCAAATAACATCAGGAATGTTCTGGACTCCACAAATAACCAAACTTGCCAGTACACAGTGAAAAATAAACCTTCCCTTTTTTAAAAAAATACCACATAAAATTCAGTACAACCTTCCTGTCACTGTACCAAAAATGCTATTTTTGATTTGGCAAGACCTGGTTCCCACCTTTCCTCACAGTCGCATCAAAAATGGACAAAAGTGCAGAACTGTGGGACGTTGGAATCAGGGTGCATGACACTCAGGCAGATTAAAATGTAATCCCAAAAACAAATAGCTTGAATACAAAGTCTTGAAAGGATAATGAGGTAAATTATGTAATAGAAACAAAAACATAAAGTTGGCAATGTAACACCTCTTTGAGAAACAACTAGAATCATAGAATCATAGAAGCCCTACAATGGGGAAGCAGGGCATTCGGCCCATCAAGTATACACTGACCCTCCGAGGATTTTTCCACTCAGACCCATCCCCCTACCTTATCCCTGTGACCCCACTTTTGCCACGGGTAACCCACTCAGCCTGCACATTACTGGACATACGGGCAATTTAGCATGACCGATCCACCTAACCTGCATATCTTTGGACTGTGGGAGGAAACCAGAGCGCCTGGAGGAAACCCATGCAGACACAGGGAGAATATGCAAACTTTGTGCAGACAGTCATCCAGGCTGGAATTGAGGGTGGACCGAGGTCCCTGCTGCTGTGCATTGTAAATCAATGTATATACTTATTGATGCTATTGCTAGACTTACTGTTCTAATTCCTGTTAGCACCGTGTGGAAATCATAAGACCTCGATAAACAAATGTTAACAGCCTGCTCACCAAATTCAATTTAGGAAAAATAAGAGAGATCCCAAGAACAGTAACCACAGTATTATTGATGATAATGGAGGCAAGAAAGTTGCAAACAAAGAAAAAATAATTGTTTTGTAGTGAGGTGAAACAAAAGGGTATGATTTTTCTTGTATTTTCTGTGGAAAAGTGAGAGAGCTACTGGAAGAGATGCATCCAGTAACATAGGGGAATGTGAGCTTTGATGTAAAACAGCCTACAGTACAGAATGTTTGAGAGGAAAAATAATGCTTGTCATAAGGGAAGAAACCAAACTTCTTGCAGGAGGCTTTAGAAACAAAAGAGCTCTGGCAATTCTACTTCGAGCACAAAGAGATTGTGAGCCTGAGCATTGTGAAAATACTCCTGGCATACATGTGAAATGTGACCCATCAAGCGCTCTGCAATCAGAGCATTTAAGGGTTATTTTCCCTTTGTGTGCAGAAAGAAAACCTGTAATTATTGTGGATTGACCTCCAGTTATCCAATCTTGTAGCTGATCTGTAACCACCAGTTTTACACACATTAAAATAAAAATTATTTGTAAGTAAAATAACCCTTCGTAGACTGTTTCCTTAGAGATGAGTGATGTTGGCAGAGATTGTGGAAACTCATGAAGACACATATTCATAACGTAAAGCAGAGTAATCAATGTCAACGAACATATTTCAATCCTCAGCCACTCATTATTGATTGAAAATTCGGCATTAGCAACAATAACCCAAATTTTCACAGAGGCGTTTTTCTTTCAAAGCATGTTTTTGCTAGCGGTTATAATTTGTGATTAGTCAGTTGGAATAACTCATTTGAAACATTTTTTGGCAGAAGCATGAGTTTGTATTGATGTGTGGTGCTTTTATTAGGAATATCATACCATGGAAGTGAATAAAAGGGGCATTGTGGAAGTAGTTTACTGTACACCGATTGTATTTATAAAATCAGAGTCAACAATATACTTATGATCACAAGTTACTGAAAAAGAATACCGACTGTTCACTTACTTCCAATATGGCTTTGGGTTCAAACCGTGGCATCTGATGGACAAAAGCACAGGCTCCTTGAATCCAAGGCGCAAAGAAGCTGTTCCATGCAGACTTAACCCAGCCAGTGTCTGAGGTATTCCATATCACATCAGAGGGAGTGAGATCCAACCAGTACCTGGAGAAGGCATTATCATAATCAATTTTCTGTCCCGCTGCATTATAACCAAACGTACTTTTGGAAGACTAGCTAATGCTGAAGTTCCCTTTGGATCCAAACAAAATGGAACCCTTTTAATAGTAAAATTCCTGTTAATTGAAACACCTGAAGCAAAGTGCCCAAATAGCAGAGTGAGGATGCTTGTAGTGAGCATAACACTGAACTACTGGATACAAATAAGATCAAAATAAATTAGGTGTTGACCAGTGGTAAGGCTGCTCGCTCCAAGTGCATGAATGGGAGAAAGGAGAAATCGTGGAAGGAGTCAATGAAAAACAATGAAGAATGGTGCAATCCTTTATCTCCATTTTAGCTTCCTGGACTCCTGCCAAAACAGTCAGAAGTGGTTGCTAAATGATGACAGGTCATGTTTGATGGACTCTGGCTTGACTGATGGATTCCACAATCAAATAGCTCCAGAGTGCGCCCTACCTTGTGAAGCCCTCCTCAATAACCTCTGGAGACTTGTGTCAAAACGCAGGGTAACTGTCGCACAAACTAGTTTTTGCAAAAGCCTGACATTGTCATTCTCACAGAATAATATCTTAGATAATGTCCCAGGCACCATCATTACTATCCCTGAGTATGACCTGCCTCATTGCCAGGTCAGACCCAGTAGAGATAACAGCACAGTGCTATGAAGTGAGGTGGTCTTTGCCTTGAGACAATGGCTCTGGACTGCGTGAGGTCTTGTGGCATCAGGCCAAAACCTGAATGAGGAAACCTCCCACTGATTACCACGTACACAACTCCCTCCGCTGATGAATCAACACTCTTCCACGTTGAACGCCAATTGGAGGTAACACTTTAGGGCAGCAATGACACAGAGTGGGAGGGGGATTTCAATGTCACTCATCAAGAGTGGCTTAGTCATTTCATTCCTGAATAAGCTGGATAAGTCCTGAAGGACACATACTTCAGACTGGGTATGTGGCATGTGGTGGACGAAACCAACAAGAGGAATAATCTATTGGACAGTGTCTAGTATTGCAGGCTATTATTGCAAATCTTCCTATCACAGACACGTCTGTCCATGGCCGTATAGATTGCAGTAACCACCGCACAGTCCTTGTGAAGCCAAAGTCCCATCTTCGAATTGAGGATACCCTCCATCACATTGTGTGGCGTTATCATTGTGCTAAATAGAAAGAATTTGGAACAGCTCTAACTGAGCTCTCATGATGTTCTGTGGGGCATCAGCTCCAACAAACCTGCATTCAAACAAAATCTGCAATTTTCCAGTCCGGCATATCCCTCATTCTACCATTAGCATCAAGCCAATGGACTCAATGAAGCGAGCAGGAGGCCATACCAGGAGCAGCAACAGATATAGTCCAAGAAGAGGTGTAGACCAATAGACCAAATGGCCTCCCTCTACTTTGAAACAACTCTGTAATGTATAACAATGATATGAGGTGCCAACCTGGTTAAGCTACAATACAGAATCACCTCCATGCCAAACAGTGGAAGCGGGTTGCAATTGACAGAGCTAAATGATCCCACAACCAAGAGATCAGATCAAAGCTCTGCAACCTGCCACATCCAGTCGCAAATGGTGATGGACAGTTACATAACTATTAGGTTAGTAGCTCCATAAATATCCCCATTCTCAATGAAGGGGAAATGCATCACGTCAGTACACGTGACAAATTGAAAGCATTCGCAGCCATTTTCAGGCAGAAGTGCCAAATGGATGATCCACTTTGGCTTCCTCCTGAGGTCCCTAAGCATCACATATACCATTTTGGCCAATTCAATTCAATCCTCAGGAAATCAGGAAGCAGCTATAGGCACTAGATACTGCAAAGAATATAGTCTCTGAGAACATTATGACAATAATATTCTGTGTGCAGTAGCACTGGGGGATTGGTTATAGCTCAGCTGGGTTGTGATGGGTTCAATTCCTGGACTGGCTGAGGTTACCATGAACGATTCTCCTTCTCAACCTCTCCCATCATTTGAGGTGTGGTGACCCTCAAGATAAACCATCACCATCTCTGTGTAATGACAAAGTAACCTTATGATCTGATAACACCATGGTGACTTTACCTTTAGTAGCATTTAGTCCAGGAAGACAATCTTAGAAGAAAAATAAATAGTAAACTCAGTATTTACAACATTTGTGATTGACGTTTTAGTTTAATCTTGTTTAAAAAAACTTTACAACATATTTTGCTCCGAACAGAATAAGATCCAGATTTAACGATACCCAGATTTAACGATACCACTATTTCATACATACTCCAGATTAATTGAATTAGTTCTCTGACCTTCCATTCATTATATGGCCTATTCCATAACTGCATTGAGTATGTAGGACCATTTTTGGAGCTCCTGTAGATCCACTGGTAAAGAAAATAGCCATCGGGTCCACACTCTTGGTTTTTGCACATTTGTGGTCATCTGATGCATTTCTTAAGAGGTAGAATTAAGACCCTTGTCAATTGTTTGCATTTTTTTTCAAAGGGATACTTATAATTATTTTAAAGCAACTTATATTCTCATGCATTTAAAAAAGACATTAAAGGTTATTTAAGCCTTTGCCCAAACACTATAATTAATTAGCAATTTGTTACTTTGTCTTATTAATCAATAAACACCTCATGCCCTTTTGTGTTGCAAGTTCTTTTATCTGAGAAAAACAAATAAAGGCAAGAACTCAAATTTTAAAGAAACAGCTATGACAGCGTTTTGATTAATTTAAGTTAGAGATGCTGGAAAATAATTACTAGTCAATTTGCTTAAGTAAGGCAAGATGACACCTTGATGTGGGAAAGAACTTTGGATTGTAGCACTAAAATTACTGGTGATGATTTGGACTAAGACAAGGCTTCCTAATGTAGGGGTAGTAAGGATCCAGCAAAGACCTTTGACTGAGTTATATCAATGATGTGTCCATTCTTAGAGGGGGGGGGCCCCCAGCTCTCACAGTTCTCGGCCAAGGGTTACGCCAATAGGATCGTGTGGAAAGATGTTTGGGAAGTACTGAACTAAGGTGATGATGGAGAGGGAGGGCACTGACCAATTTAAATTCCACAATGGAAGCCACAATCTTTCGTTTTCAGTATAACCATCACCAAGTCACCAGTTTGACAAATTAAAGAATTAATCATTAACAAGCACTATCCACCAGGGGACATCCAAACTAGAGGAAGGGTAGGGAAAAAGGGAGAGGTCAAATCAAAATGGTTTTGGAGGGGTAACTAAGGCACTCTAGCCCCAACCTCTTCCAAATGCAACAGTCAAATACTTGTGTTTTCCCTGAAGTGTCATGACACCTCTCTGTAGAAGGTGGACCTTGAACATGGGCTTCCTGGCTTAGCAATACATACTCTATGACAAGAGTTGTTCAAATTACAGATTCTTATGAATACAAGTTTCATAATTTGCCATGATGGGATTTAAACACACATCTCCAGGACATTACCGTGGGGTTCTGGATTGCTGGTCCAGTGACGTCACCACTACAGCACCACCTTGCTACCAAGTAATACAGATATATAAAGGTGAGTAGAATCTAACTCCCATTCTAGATGGCTGTCCCAGAAACTTTTGAAGAACTGACTCAAAGTGCTGTTAATTGATTACCTTCAATAAAGCAGGACAGTTATGGAGCATAAAGTTTATGATAAGGTAAGAATCTCCCAGTTAATTTCTTCATTCACTTATATAGTTAGTTGACTAATTATTAATATTGCTGCAAAAAACACATTTTGTTGAAGGTTTTCATCTTGCATTTATCAGGACAATTCATAAGAAATACTGATGAAATGGAAAACAGTATTTCAATTGAATGAGTGTGTTGATTGGTTTGCAGTGGACTTTGATTAGTAGATTCATTGCCATGGAGAATGTACTACTTAGATGATGATTGACAATTGATTGCCAAATTTTGTTTAAATTTTAAGCAAGATAAGTTGACTCTGATTGGTCAAGGCATTAGCCTGAGAAGTGAACAAGAAAATCACCAGTTGTGTTGAGTAGAAACAGTAACAGTGTTTATTAATTTTTTTCTGTCTGTAAAGAACAGAGATAGCCCTGTTTGTTAATATATCTAGCTTCTGGTATGTGAAAATATTCCACATTGCAAGCCCCCAAGAATCCACTTGCCAACTAATCAGCACCCTCCTTTTATAGAATACAAATGTTATTTTCCCCTTTCATAGTTATTCTTGCAAATTATTCTGATGAGTGCAAGACAAAAAGCTTTGACAAAATGTGACTTTACTAGCAATAATCAAGTTCTGTACTACAAAATGACAATAGTTAATAAAATAGAAGTATTTGTAAGGCTTTGTGCCAAATTGATTGAATTAACTTATTGAAATATTGAAATATCTTTAATATAAATGGATATACTTGAGGAGCGTTTCTTTTGAGGTTTTTCTGTTTTAAAATTATTCCATACAAAACTAATTGCTACTAACCGGAAAAGGTCCTGGAAGTTCATCCATCCCTGTTTATGTTTTTGTGATACAACTACCCTTGCTTTGACGGAAGGGCACTTGGACATCACTGATTCTACAGCATCTGCCAGGCTGTCATCTGTAACAATGCATTTTGCTTTGGAGGCTTGAAGCCTGTGTAAAATATCTGTGGCTGTTAACTGGGTTGTACCAGGGATCAGTACAGTACCTAAACAGAGCACAAACAAAAAGATTAATACCGAAATATTCGCAAAAACTTAATTAGAATTAATTGGAACTAATTTATCAATCAGATTTGAATTGTTTTAAAGAAATACATTTGATTTGTATTCTACATGCAGCAAAAACACTGAGTGCGTTAGAAACCTATCATATAAACTGAAGATGAAAGAAATATTTGGCAGATCAAGCACCCTCTGTTGGAGTGGAAAAATTAAGGGTTCAGCTCAGTGACCCCCCAAAAGAACAGGAAAACATTACAGACTGAAGTGCAGAGAATAAGGGGAGGAGAGAATAGAGAAGTTCTGTGATAAGGTAGAAGGCAGGAGTGTTTCATCAGCATCTGAAGTCTGAAAATAATGGGGGTAAAGGTTATCTGGAGAATGGTTAGTTCAATTGGATAAATGGCTAACCTGTTTAAAAATAAACCAAAGCGTCTGGCTTGGTATCTTTCCAGCTTGAGCTAGATTTGATTCCACCTTGTTCCCTGTTTTATAATTATATCACATGGGTCAGTGACCCTTGAATAACTGAACATGCAACCTGGAGAAGGAAAGATATCATGTGAATTTTGCCATGAACCCACTTGATGGAAACTCACATTCCAGTGTGGAATCTGACAGGATCAAGCAGAGGTTGTGGTTTTGCAATTTGGTTACCATGATGATCAGTCACTGAACACATTCACCAAGAGGCTGCCAATGTACATTTAACAAAAGGACAATAGGTCTCTTAGACACAAGAAAAGAAAGAAAAAATCGATATACATATACATTTAAAGTGATATAAGGTATGTGATTTACTTGTGATTTACAGCTCCAAAGAAGAGTCATACTGGTCTTGGACTTTGTTTTTCTCTCTCCACTGATGCTGCCAGATCTGCCGAGTTTCTCCATCACTCTCTGTGTTTGTTTCAGATTTCTGGCATCCACAGTGTTTTGCCTCTATATGAGAGAGCAACTTCCTGGACTGTAAAGGCATTTTGTTTGCATTGGGTGTGTTTTTAATGGCTGGACATAGTAAATAGTGAAGTACATTAAGCTGCTTAATAAATAGGAGATGGATTAGGCCATCTGGCCTCTTGAGACTGTTCCACCATTCAATAAGATTAAGGTTGATCTTTTCATGGACTCAGCTCCAATTACCCGCCTTTTACTGTTCAAAAATCTATCTTTGCCTTAAAAACATTCAACAAGGTAGCCTCAACTGCTTCATTGCGCAGGGAGTTCCTTGGACTCACAACCCTTTTGGTGACGAAGTTCCTCCTCAACTCAGCCCTAAATCTGCTCCCCTTTAGTTTGAGGCTATGCCCACTTAGTTCTAGTTTCACACGTCAGTGGAAGCAACCTCCCTGCTTTTATCTTGTCTATTCCCTTCGTAATTTTATATGTTTTCATAAGATTTCCCCTCATTCTTCTAAATCCCAATGTGTATAGTCCCAGTCTACTCAACCTCTACTCATACGTCAACCTGCTCAACTCCAGAGTCAATCTAGTGAACCCCCTCTCCACCCCTTCCAGTGCCAGTACTTCCTTTCTAGTGATAACACAGTATTCCAGGAGTGGACTCACCAGCGCTGTATACAGCTGCATAATAACCTCCCCGTTTTTAAACTCCATCTCTCTAGAAATGAAGGACAATATTCCGTTTTCTTTCCTAATTACCTGCTGCACCTGCAAACTAACTTTTTGTGATTCATGTTAGAAGGATCTGTAATTTTTTTAGGTGCAACACCCATAAGCTTGAAAAACCTTTGGTTTCAGTTTGTAGAAGTCCTGATGGAATCTAAATGTGTAAAATAGTCTCTCTTGATGAAAGGAGATAGTTCAGAACTCTTAGAAATAGATTTCCCCAGTGCAGGGAGATTAGTTTAAAAATTCCAGACCTGATGTGTTTGCTTAGAACCCTGAAAGTTTATTTAAATCTGAGATAGTTTAGACTCAGTGTGAGAGCACTCAAGGAAGAAGATGTGAAGGGCTGTTACTCTCACCTCACCTGTTTGGTGACTTCACCAGGTCGTCACCTCATCTTCATTTATGCCTAGTGCCATTCCGAGGAAGGGTCACCGGACCTAAAATGTTAGCTCTGATTTTTTCTTCACAGATGCTGCCAGACCTGTTGAGCTTTCCCAGCAACTTCCATTTTTATGACTGGTGTGCTGCTCCCGACATGCCTTCCTGTGCTCTCCATTGAACCAGGGCTGATCTATTGGTTTGATGGAAGTGGTTGAGTGGGGTATATGCCAGGCCATGAGGGCATCATTGGGTAGGCCAGCATTGAATTGCACAGATTTCTTAGTTTCTGACCTGCTCTTGTAGGCAATTTATATATGGCTTGTCTAGTTCAGGTTCTGGTCAATGGTAAGCCCCCCAGAATGTTGACACTGGTGGATTCAGCAATTGTAATGCTATTGCATATCCATGGGCAATGGTTAGATTTTCTTTTGTTGGGGATGATCATTGCCTGGCACTTGTGTGGCATAAATGTTACTTGCCATTTTTCAGTCGAAGCCTAGATGTTGTTCAGTTCTTACTACACAGACTGCATCAATATCTGTGGAGTTGCAAATAGTATTGAACATTGTGCAGTCATTGAACATCCCCCTTTCTGACGTTATGATTGAGGGAAGTTTGATGAAAAAGTAGCCCTGATCAGCATCTTCAGAAAATCAACCAAGAAACAATCAAATATACCTGCAGAACAAAGCATTGTGAAAACCACTAAAGTAAACTGACCAGTTTTGTTATTTTCTTTTATTTATGCCTTAACTATGTTTGTTTGTCTGTGTTTTTGTGAATGGCGCTGAAAACAAAGGTTATTGGATTTAAACACAGACATCAATTAGATTACTTTATTATTAAATTTGCTCTGATAAAGTTATTGAATTGTTAATAAATTGTTAAAACTTTTTGTTTAAGAGTCAAACTTGGTAGAGAATTCATTATTCACAGAGTTTGGGATTGATTGTTCAAAAAGTCTGGTTAAGAACTTTTAGGGTCACTTTTGAGAACCTTTGAAGGTTTTAATTATATGTGTTGCGAATATATAGGTAGAAAGGCTGACTTGGTTTGGTTCTCTATCTCCATGCAGTAACACTGGTTAACAAGCTTATTAAATCATTAAATCTCTCTTCCACTTCAAAAATACTTATATTGAAACAAAAAAAACTGTGATGTCACCATCAATGGACGATCATAGAATAGAATCCCTACAGTGTGGAAACAGGCTCTTCAATCCAACGAGTCCATGCTGACCCTCAGAGCATCCCACCCAGACCCATTCCCCTGTAACCCACTTAATCTACACATCCCTCGACACTATGGCAGTTTAGCATGGTCAACCCACCCAACCTGCACATCTTTGGACTGTAGGAGGAAACCAGAGCACCTGGAGGAAACCCACGCAGACACGGGGAGAATGTGCAAACTCCACACAGACAGTTGCCCGAGGGTGGAATCAAACCCAGGTTTCTGTTGCTGTGAAGCAGCAGTGCTAACCACTGAGCCACTGTGCCAGCCCAACCACTGAGCCACCGTGCCATGCTTGCTTAAATAATTAAATCCGATAAGTGGGAAGCTGCTGAATTTCATATATATATTGGAAAAGACATAATCAGTGAAGCACTCAGGTTTAATGACTATTGCTAAGGTATTAGTTCAGTTCCATCACACTGGGCTCAGAACTCGTTTCTCCTAAAATTGCATAGATTAACCAAAAGTATTTCCAAATTTATCAACTAGAAGAAATTTGCATAAGTTCATCAGAACTCCCTGTGCGGATTTGATCTTTAAATGGATTGCTTTAAGACAATCTCTTGTAGGAAGAAGGGAGAAAAATGTTTTTGTTAAACATCCATTTCAAGAACCATGTTGACCACAACACCTTTACCTGTTCTGATGCATGCTATGTTTATAAGCCACCATTCTGGAACTCTGGGCAGGATAACAAGAACTCGATCCTTTAATTGTAGATCACAAGCATCTGACAGGACATTGGCCACTTTCTTAGAATGGACTTCAAGGTCCTGGAAGCTCCATTTCACTTCTTGCCCATGTTCACTCAGCCACCAGAAGGCAGGATTTGAATCTCTGTTTTCAACCTGTGTAAATACCAATGGAAATTCCATCAAGCACTTAAAAATGCAAGAGTGCCTGTTGGATAAGTACATGAATGGGAAAGGTTTGGAGGGACATAGGCCAGAAGCAGGCAGGTGGGATTAGTTAATTTGGGATTGTGTTCAGTATGGACTGATTGGACTGAAGGGTCTTTATCCGTACTATATGACTCTATGACTGTATGACACCATACTTCAAATATTTTTCACAGAAAACACTACACTTTAATGAATAGGCTTATAGCCTGTGCATCTTTTAAAAAATAGCCCTCTATAACTTCTAATTGTTGCAACAATCGAGTTTTTATACACAAAATCTGGGCAGTCAAAAGCTATCAATGAAATGTCTATTTTCATACAACTGTAAATGTTCAATTGAACGTGAATGAATATTTGAATAAATTGTGTAACTTCAAAATATCAGTCAAATCAGGAAAGTTATTTTTGCTAATTCTCAACATTACAAACAAAGGCTTATATTGTTTAAAAGTGGCTACGATGGCTATAATTCTAAATGGTTATAATTCCTATGTTAAAAATAAATAATTTTACATAGAATGCCTAAATTGTACCACATGCAACTAATTAAAACATTCTTATGAGTCCATAACTTCTTCAAATTTCACAGAAACAATTTCTTACATCTAAAAATGAACTCCATCTATCATACAAGATAACAAAATACCTTTTCAATTCCACTCCATTTATCAAGGACATCATTTGCAAAATTGAAGTATTCTGGCACTTCTGGTTTGTATTCCTGTTTGATAGATTCATAGTCGTTGAAATTCTTAGGGTCACATGTTTTACTACTTGCGAAGAATGATCTTAATTGTATCTTCAATGTCGTAAAAGCTCTTCGATTGTGACTAACCAAACATGATATGTTAACACTCATTATTTGTAGCTTCAACATTCTAAATGGAATCAGTCGGGCATTCATTTTACTTCATGTGGAATAGAGAAGCCAAAATACACAATGAAACTAGAAAGACAAAATGCATTAATGACAAAAGCTTTGTGCGAGAATTGGGATCATGGAACATTTTAATGATTTACAACACTGTGTTGAAAATTTGAAAAGCCAAGTTCAAAGTTTAACCAGGATTGACATTTGGACTCAATTTTCAGCATTTTAGGAACATTATTGACACACAGACTAACCAGGTTTTTCAAATTAGTTGGTCTTCTGATTAGTTGGTCATAAATTTAGCCAGTTCAGGAAACCATTAAATATATGCATATATAAAAGGGGATTTGTGAGTCTAAAAAGGCATATTAATGTAAAAGGTTATCATGCATTTGACAAGAGGTGGGGTCAATGTGGCGTGACGCCCTAATGTAGGAATTTCCAAGTGTGGTCCAGAGTTGGAACCTTGCGATTGCAAGTTCTTCCAAAACCACCCCAAATCATGAGTCCAGGAGGTCTTTTTCTCTAACCCTTTCCCCCAAGCACTACTGCCCACTGACGGGTCTCAACAATTTCTATGCCTCTGGATATGATCTCAGTGGGAAAATGCTTGTGAAGCATTGCCCTATGGGATCAAGTAACCAGTACATGTTCATTTTTGGTTTGTAATAGCCAAGACTATAAACTTAAGGCTCCTGTTTTCAAATGAACGCATTTAGAAAATACGTTTGAATAATTCAGTAAGTACATAATTCTTTGATAGTACAGAACATGACATGACTAAAAGGATCAAGAAGTCAGTGCTTTATGTTGTAAAATGAAGTCATTTTGCACAGAATTAGGTGTGTGTTATTGTCTTGGATAGAGGATTGGCTAACCATCAGGAAGCAGAGTTGGGATAAATGGGCGATTTTCTTGTTGTCAAGATATAATGAGAGGAGTGCTATAGGGTTCAGTTCTCATGCCCAATTATTTACAATCCATATTCATGACTTGGGTGTGGGGATAAAATGTACTGTAGTCAAATTTTCAGATAACACTAAAATAAGTGTAGGAGCAAGTTGCAAGGAAGAAATATGAAATTATGGACTATGTTAAGTGAATGGACTGATGAATTTGACAGAAGAGTTTAAGTGGATAAGTGTGAGGTTATCCATTTTGGTTGCAGGAATGGAAAGGCAACTTATTATCTAAATGGAGAAAAGCTTCAGAAAGCTTCAGTGCAGAAGGATCTGGGTATCCTTGTGCATGAATTGTGGAAAGCTTATATGCAGGTACAGCCGGTAATAAGGAAGCAAATGGAATTTTGGCATTTATTGAAAAAGGAATTGAGTATAAAAATAGTGAAGTGTTACTACAACTGTGCAAGGCATTAGTGAGATTGCATCTGGAGTACTGCGTACTCTTGTTTGAGAAGGGACTTGGTTGTGTAGCAGCCTCCAGGCTAACTTGGCCAAACATCAAGGGATGCTGGGTGCATTGGCCAAGTAAAACTCTGAAGTCACAAAACCCACACACCAGACACAGTGCAAACACAGCACTCAGGTGCTAACGACATCAGCATAATTCAAAAGGCAACAGACATATCCCGAGCAACTTATTTACCAAACAAAGGAAGGCCCAGACAGAAAGGTACCAGGTCCTGCTACTCAAAGAAACAAACAGTAGCGAGCCATCTGAATGATTGACACTGTTTCAAACTATTAAGCAAATCTCCCTGATTGGCCAGAACTATAGTCAGTTCCAGAAAACCATCTGAAAAGGTATAAAAACAGGGTTCACCTGCAGACTGCACTATTGGACCCTCTTGGACCTTCTGAGGAGTCCAGCATGACAAACGGCAGAAATCTGCTGACTGTCTGGAGAGAGAGAGAAAGACAGAAAGCAGCTTCATAGTGCCACAGATATAGAGACAGAGAGTGTGGCTATGCAAATATACAAGAGACTCAAGAAGTACTGTAAACTTAAGGGGCTGAATAGGATTGGAGATAGTATTGTGTTGTAGTAAAATCTTTCGTAACTTGTGTCCTAATAAAGTCAGGACTGTTTTGTATTGGTACCGGCTTGTGTTCATAGTGATTTGATCGCTTGGTTTTGTGGGACACCTGGGAAAATTCATTCAAAACATTCTGGTTGAAGTTGTCTAACTTGTTTGAAGGAGGAACTAGACAACAGTTGTATTGAACAAAGAACAGTACAGCTCAGAAACAGGTCCTTTGGCTTACCAGGACTGCGCCAACACATGTTGCCTTTCTAAATTGAAAAATCTTTTGCCTCTGTGTAGTCCATATCCATCTATCCCCTGCCTATTCATTTATCTGTCAAGATGTCTGTAAAACACTGCTATTGTATCTGCCTCCACCACTTTCTCTGGTAGCACATTCCAGGCACTTACTACCTTCTGTGTAAAAAATTTGTCTCTCACCTCTCCTTTAAACTTACCCCCATTTACCTTAAACTGATGTTCTTTAGTACTTAACATTTCTACCCTCGGAACAAAAACAAACAGGAGGCAGTTCAGAATAGATTCAATAGATAATTCCAGAGACAAAGAGTTTGTGTTATGAAGAGAGATTGAGTAGTTTGGGCCTGTACTGTCTGGTGTTTAGAAGAAAGAGAGTTGATCTAATTTAAGTACGTAAGATGCTAAAGGGGATTGACAAAGTAAACATAGAAAGGATGTTTCCTCGTGTGGGGCAATGTATAACAAGAGGTCATAGTTTTTCGGATAAGGGGTAGCAGATTTAAAACAGAGATGAGGAGTAATTAAGAGATAACAAGGTGTAGAGCTGGATGAACACAACAGGCCAAGCAGCATCATAGGAGCAGGAAAGCTGACGTTTCGGGCCTAGACCCTTCATCGAAAAATCCTTTCAAAGAGTTGTGAGTCTATGGAATTCATTACCCCAGAGCGGGGTGGAAGCCAGGACATTGAGTAAATTTAAAAAGAGATAGATTTTTAATTAGTAGTGGGTTGAAGGGGTATGAAGAGCAGGCAGAAAATTGGAGTTGTGGCCAAGATGAGATTAGCCATGATCATATTAAATAACAGTACAGTCTTGAGGGGCTGAATTGCCTACCCCTGCTCCTAGTTCTTACTGTTCTCACACATCGTAGATTTTTAACTGGGGAAGAAGAGGCCACAGAGACTGCCAATCTCCGCTGTCTTCCCATTGGTAACATTCTGCCCAATCAGAGTTTACTGGTCTGAGAGCTGAGATTGACAGTTAACAATTCCTGCTGTATCTCCATGCCAACAATAGGCCAACCAATCAACACCCTTTTCTCGGGCTGTATAAAGTTGTGTTAATGTTTTCAAGTTTGTTACTTACATCTTAATTGAGTACATTAAGAACTTTATAACTGGATGACCTCCTTGATCTATGAAAAACATTCCAATTTTCTACATGTGGGCTAACAAAGCTTACGTCTGTTCGCTAAAACAGGAAGCTTTATTTGCAACATGAGCAGGGATGCTTTTACCAGGGATCTGGCAGAAAATTTTAATTGTACTAACCCTTTCAAATGATCTGTCCTTTTGCCCTCCTGCCTATTGGTGCATGTATAGTGCAAGGAGGACGGTGAGCGTGTCCAGGATGAAGCAAAGGTGGAATATTCTGTTACCAATGGGTTAGCTCTTGACTCTGGTAAACATCACCACTATCTACTAAGCACATTTCATATTTGTGATGGCTACCTTTTTAACTTAAATGGATGCACACAGCTAAAACAACGACTTGAGAAGATCAAACATCCAGATGAAGCAGCCTGCTTGATATGCACTTTCCCCATTAGGCTAAACAGCCATCCCTTCCCTAATAGTTGGACCATGGCTTTGGTGTCTACTGTTTAAACTATTAAAGACTGCAGATTCATGAGAATGCCATCACTCTGGAATCTCCCCTCCAAGTCACACATAATCCTAAATTGGTCACATACTGCTATCCCTTCACCGACACTGCATCAATCCTTCATACCTTGTGGCCACACTGTCAAGAGATAAACTACAACAGTTTATGAAGATGGGAAACCACCACTTCCTTGGGTAGTAATTGCCAACCATGCCAGAGATGTCAATCTCCCAAGAATTAATTTCAGATTGTCTTTTGATAGCCTGTTTCTAGCCTCTTGCTTCTTTCCATTTGTTCCATTTCAATTTTTCTTTGATATCACTACGTTCAGCACACATTTGAACTACTTTTTTTTCTCCCTTCTGTGTTTCCCAAGTGCAGAATTCTCCCAGGCCCTGAATGACATGGCAGTAACAATTCAGTTGGGGAAAAAAATGGCAAGGTCAAAAGAATGAGATTTTCAACACTGAGGAAAACTTTGGAGGGCACCAACATCCTGCATTGTAATGCTGCCAGGGCACTTTGTGTGCAGAGCAAAGCACTCACCTCTTGGGTTGGACCAGGGTGCACTTCAGCACTCTTAGCCTTCTCTCTTAGTGCTCAGTTACTTTGTACCTATTTGATGCTCACAGATTTCCCGTCGTGCCTTTTTGCCTTTGCCACCTCATTCAGAATTCACAGGCTCACAGTACTTCTGCCTTGTCTTGTTTTTTTAGTGTAGACACAAAGCCAGGCAGCTCGTCATGGTTGTGAGCAATGATCTGTCCAAGGGGGAAGGTGTATTCCTGTATGGTGCTATGTAGCTCACCTGTAGCATGTGCCAGCAACTTATTCCACAAGTACGCTGCTTGTGCTGCCACCAGATAGCCACATCTCAAAGTCTAAGGGGAGTAAGCCCCCAGTCAAAGTCAGGGAGGACTGGCTTCTCTCAAGGGGTACACTTGATATCAGTCCAAGGGCTTGCATGTGGTCATACAGACTCTTGGTTCTAACAGATTCTCAAGGTCCATATCACTATTGCCCAGGGAATGGGTCATGGCCAATCCTCCAGGTCCTGTGTAACCAGATTGGGGAATAGCAGGAAACTAGTTGGACAGCTGCACAGAGGTGAGTCAGGAATCTGGTCACTCGCCAGTTGTGGATGTTTTCTCAAGTCATCCAGGAGATGGACCATAATCAGTCCATCGGGTTCATGGGTTATCTGGGGACAGTGGTGTG